AATTCCCCCTTGAAATTCTTGATAAGATGTTTGCAGCTGTATCTTCTACCATATTTAGGACATAATTCCGTTAGTGCAGCTTGTATACCCTACATTACACACACATATTCATAAGTGAGTCAGCAACAAAATTTAGTAAACTATGAACAAAAAAACCAAGACAAGTCATAAGAGTTTACCTTTTGCATATCTTAGATGATACAACATTCATCTCCTCTTCCACTATCCTTCAATGCACTCTTCAAATGCCAGATGAAAAACTTCCAGGTATCAGTGTTTTCAGCTTCAACTATTGCTCAGGTAACTGGAAATAATTCATTGCTTGCATCCAAAGCAACAGCTGATAGTAACACTCCACCATAGTTCCCCTTTAGTTGAGTCCCATCCACCCCAATAATGCTTCTACAACAAACAAATAGCCCATCTAAAACAACTTTAAATGATATGAAAATGCTCTTGATTGCTAATGGGCTTTCTGGATGGGTTGCTGGATTCCAAACACAGTTTGTCATTGAATTGGGGTTCAAATTTTTAATGACATCACAATAAAGTGGAAGCAGCTTGTAATACACATCATGCCCTCCATGGATTTCTTCTAAGGCCTTTGCTCTCACTCTGTACAGTGTTGACTGAGCCATTTCTACACCAAACCTTTTCCAAAGAAGTTCATTCAATTAATTGGCAGGTATGTCACTGTTTGCTCTAATGTCTTCAAGGAAGACCCTTTTTCCCCACCTTACATTAACCATATTGTTCCTAGACTCCAACCCTTGGCAGGTGTGTTCAGAGTTTTGAATCCCATTAATAGCCCAAGTGGTTCCATTTGGAAGAACAACATGTAATCTCCACTTACAATGTGCATTAGAACATCTAACTGTGTATCTTAAGTTGGTTGCATAGTGCACTACCAATGAAAAGCCACACGGAATACAGTAGTCCCTTACAACATCCCTAAGATGTTGTTTATCCATGAATAGTTGCCAAGATTTCAACTCAATTCTCCCAAAACCCATATCCTGATACAGTTCCCTATTATTGTAAATCTTACTAAAGTAATTATCCTCATCCTTCTCACACTCAAAAGCAGGCTCGTCAAATAGATCAAATGTATCCTCGACAATTGGAACATACTCATCTTGAGATAGTTCATCTTCAGTTTCAACACTTTCATCAGTATCTGACCCCTCATCACTCTCATTTGGTTCATAACCCCCATCATCTTCTTCTTCATATAAAGACAGGCTTTGATTATTGTCATTCCCATTACTACCACCTCTCAAGCTACCTGAACTACTCCTTCTTGTACTCCCAACTACATTAACAGTGTTCATATCACTATCACAACCAGATGCACTAGCACTAATCAAAATTCTCTTCCTCTTTACAGTAGTCCTAGGAAGTTTTCTCCTAAAAATGGTTGTTGCCCTAGAGGACTTGGATGATTCAGAATTCTGCCCTCCACCAAACTCTCTAGTGTTTGCTAATGGTGTAATCGTAGGTTGGGTAAAAGGCGGGGATTGTGATTGTGATTGTTGGAGACTGATTTCAATTGGGATTTGTGGCTGGGATTCATGTTGTGAATGAGAATCATGTTCTGTTTGAGATTGAGGTTCATGGTCTGACAGAGGATATTCATAATCTATGGGTTGATCTACTTGCCATGGTGTTGGTGAAATATGAAACCAAATTTCAATTGCATTACCCCTACCCCTGCCTCTCCCTGTACCTCTTCCTCTCCCTCTCCCCCTACCTCTCCCTCTCCTTCTCCCTCTACCTCGCCCTCTCCCTCTGCCTCTTATAGGTCCATCCCTGAAGACATCATACCAAGTTGCTTCAATGTTAGTGCCTTCAGGTATATAACTTTTAACAATGGGTGCAGGCTCTACCTTATTCAAACTAGCAACATGTTTCTCAAATTCTTCTTTAGAAATAACCTCAGCTTCAACCACATTGTTCTGTCTCCTCTTAGGGGTCAGTTTAGATTTGCTAGCACTAGGACTTCCTATTTCATTAACTACTTGTTTATCAACTTCCATGGGTGATTTACCTAAAACAAGTGACCTAGCAGCAGACCCTACCTTAGTATCCTTAAGGCCATCCCCTACCCATTCATATATCACTTTCTTATCAGGTAGGTTAACAAATATCTTCATCAAATCAGCATCACAATTCAGAGACACATGCTTCATTTTATAAACATAATAAAAAGTCGGGTTTTGGGGTGTTTCTACATTATTTTCCTTAGCCTTCTCCCAATACTCAACTCTGAGGTCTATTAAATTCACCTTATCAACATCCTCAACATTCACAGAAACATCTATACCCCTATATTGAATTTGCAATACTACAACATCACCCATTCTGCAACAAACACACAACCAAACAACAAAACAACAACAAACACTATAAGAATCATACCCTATCACACGAAAACAGAGCATAGCACAACAAATTGCAAAAAAATAATCATACCTGGCTTCGAATCGAGTTTTATGTAGTAATTTTCCTCAGATAAAGGCTACAAAATTTGATCTTTCAAGCCTTACGAACAGTATTTGATCGTACATCACCTAGCAACTTAAGAATCTTCTTCACCAAGTCCCTCGAAATTCACCAAATAATCCCCCAAAAAACACAAATTTGTTTGATTAAAACCCTACTAACTCAAAAACCCGGATTTTAGAAGATTGCTCGTGTTTTTATTATTGAAGTTCTTCGCAAATTGCCTTCCAATACTCTGAGTTCAATTTTTCCAACTGAAGAAGATGAACGCTCAAACCCCTTCACTGAAATTTATTAGACACAGTTGGTTAGGGTAAAATAAATGGGGTCAAATTTGTCATTTCACATCTCCAGACCTAAACCCTAGTTAAATAATTAACAAATACTTAAACACAAGTTACCATTTGATTAATCATATTAATGTTTTGTTACCAAGGATAATCAAAAGTTGCACCCTTTACCATTGAAAAAAAAAAATATGTAATTACTAGTGAGAATTTTCCAACCTTTTTTTCTTTTGATTTTATCTTTCTTAGTTTTCATTAAATTGCTTTTCTTTCTTTCACTTGTTTTGTGTTTGGATTAATAGGTTGTTTTCATGGGTTTCGGACCCCTCAAACGAGCGTGAGCATAATGGGAAGGAGTTTCATGATAAATGATGAGAGTATGATCGATTTTCTTGAATTTCGAGTTAAAAGGGTAAGGTAATCAAGGAGGAAAGAATTTTTATAAATTGTGCTTAAATGAGAAGGGAATTTGTGCTTGGTGAGTTAATTATGGTGCTCTCATTAATTTGGGATTTTGAACCGACTACCAAGGCATTTTGAAACTGATGTGTTTAGTGGGTTCAGGAATTCCGGGATGATAATGATGCATAGAGCTCATAGTTGAACGCACTAAGAGAAGAACCTAGTAAAGAAGAGAAACAACAGAGGCGCCGGCGCGCACCCTTGCTACGCGGCCTCACAAAAAGTCAGCTTTTTCCCACATTTCATACCCTCACCCTCGTCCGCACCATTTTCTCTCTTTCCAAGAAACCCTAACCTTTAAAAATCATATTCTTCACTCAAATCCTCATAATTCCTCACAAAATTACCAAATTCCTACTCAAATTTCATCATTTTCACAAAAATTCATACTACTTTCCTCCATTTCATATTCTCCATTCTCTTTCCTCCATTGAAGAGCAAATTAGGGCTTTTTGTTTTGGTGGATTTTGGAGCTCAAAAGTTAACCAAATTTGCTTCTTGTATTGTATAATCATCTTCTCTCCTTTTCTTTTGCATTATTACATAAATTTGTATGAGAATTTGATTATTTTTTACTTGTGAATAGTAGTAGTATTGATTTTGTTGATTATGATTAATGTTTGGGTAAATTGGATGCTTATATGTCTTGTTTGTAGATTGAAATTGCCTCGCATTGTGTAGTTGATTGTATAGATAAATTATGAAATTTGGTGGCTCTTTGAAGAAGATTGAAATTTGGAATTGTTGGTAGTAAGTTGGTGTTTGAGTGGTGGTTTGTTGAATTAAGTGTTGTGGTAGTGTTGTGGTTGGATTGTAATTGTGGTAGATAGTGGATAGTGGAGTTTGTTATTGAATTTTGGTTATGAACTTTGTGAAGCAAACATGATAGGAAAACCCTCACCCCAAAAAGAGAACCCTCACCGCAAACATGATAGGAAAACCTTCACCCACAAATTCACCCTCATCTCAAACACTACCAAACAATGATCCTCTACGATTGCCAAAAGACGATTTTCTAATCTAAGCCGTAAACCACATTTTGCTGACTTTAAAAAACAAACCATAAAGCCCTCACGGCATAATCATCGAGAGAGTAAGATCAAATTGGGGATTGATGAGGACTTATGAGTTTTGTTTGATAACCTTCGGATAGGTAGCTTTGTTAATACATGCTACCGAACCTACCTTGAGCCTACTATAGTGTTTCTAGCTTCTATAACTTCCACTCCATTTGGTGACAAGGATTTCCAAATATTTTTATCAATTCTTCAATGTTGTGAGGACCATGTCTTTGGCCGAATTCTGCGACCCTTGATTTCCATCCAAGAGCGGATATTCTCTTTCCTGAGCATGAGTTCTTTTATGGGTTTGCCCAAAATGCGTGCATGGTGGTATTATATCTTGGGATTTGATGAGTTCACCGCCTGCTACTCTCTAGCGAGTGATATTTCCTAACCCTAACTTCGTGTGCTTTATCGGCTCTTGGGATACTCGGTCTTCTAAAAGCAAGATTGGGAAAGATCTCGAAGGCCGAGATGGTGGTTCTTTGGATTGCAATAAGAGAGGAGTCACGAGGAAGGGTTAACTTTGGGCGCATTTTCTAGAAGGATTGCATGGACATGCATAGTAAGAAGTCGGGGGGGGGGGGGAAGCTAGGTTAAGGGGTTGACTTTCGTTGACTTTCTCTCTTCTTCCTCTTCTCCATGGTTAATCAATTTTGATCGGTTTCTTCATCAATCTTGAGCTTCGATGGCTAAGAAGATGAAGCAGAATAAATCTACACCCCAATTAGTACAGCTTAGAATATCTACTGATGAAATTTTACAGAATTTGCGGAACTCAAGCACAACTTTTGTTCCAAGCCCGATTCAGAAGGTGGACGAGCTTATCACTCCAGCGCCGGAATTGATCAATCCGGCCTGTGGTTCTATTCCCCGAAGTGATACTGAAACCATTTCCCTATTTGCTGAAGCCATTGCTAGACCAACATCTTCGAATTTCAATAAAACAGTAACTAGGGTTTCGAATTGCACTGTTCCATTGGATGCTGAAGCGGCAGCTCATCGATCTGAACCAGCTACCACAGATTCTCACACTTTACCTCCTCCGGAACAGAACGCACATAAGGATGGTGAAGATCGAAGCTCTTTTTCTGGGAAGTTAACTGCTAAGGGAGATGCTTTGTTCTTCTTTGCACCGGTTGTTCAAAATGGGAAGCAAGTTGCTAAGATAAAGGAATCTGAACTCATGGAAGGTAATAGGAAATGGTCTAATGCTTTAGTTTTTTATGTTGTTAGTCATTACCCTACTATTGTTGTTGTTCATCGTTTCATAGTTCAACAATGGTGTGATGTGCAAAAACCCGAAATTTTTTGGCATGATGATGGGTATTTTATCATTAATTGTTGTTCAATTAGTTATAAGGATACTATTCTTTGTTCTGGTCCGCAAATGTTCATGGGAAAACCAGCAATTATTAAACCTTGGAGTCCTAAATTTGATTTTGGTGCAGAGATTTTGAGAACTATTCTTTTGTGGGTTAAGTTCCCAAACATACCTTTAAATTGCTGGGGTCCTGAAACTCTTAGTCGTATTGGTAGTTTGCTTGGTGTACCAATTTTCTCTGATGAATGTACTACAAGAAAACTAAGAGTTTCTTTTGCTAGAGTTCTAATAGAAATTGATGTTACCAAGCCATTGCCTAAGTCTATGTTTGTGGAAAGCCCCTTGAAGGCAATTCTGGAACTCAAGGTAGTTTATGAATGGACTCCACCCTTTTGCTCTAAGTGTAATAAAGTGGGCCATGATTGTTCTGTTAAAGTGTCATCAGCTCCAAAGCATTCGGTGACTGCAGCTCCTAAGCAGCCTGTAAATGTAGCTCCTAAAGTGCAGCAAGTCTGGGTTGCTAAGCCTAGTCAAGCTCCTCCTGTTGTTGATGTTGATGCTTCTGTTCATGGGCAATCTTTTGTCGCCCCACAGGTTCATACTTCTCAAAACTCAAATGAGGGGTGGAGAATAGTGGGAAAGAAGACAAAAAGCCAGCAAACTAGGGTTAATCAGCCTGCTTCTACCTCTAATGCTTTTATTGCTCTATTTGCAAATGAAATGGATGGTGTAGGTGGTTTTATGATAAATCCAAGCGGGGGTGAGGTTAATCCCCCTTTGGTGTCATGATTTATTTATATGGAATGTCAGGGGCTTGAATAACCCTGGCAAGGTTGCCTCTGTAAGGAGGTTTCTTCATTCTCATTCAGTTGATGTTATTGGTCTTCTTGAAACAAAAGTCAAATAAAAAAATGTTCTTACTTATCAGAAGAAATTTGGCTCTTCTTGGTTTTGGTTGTGCAATTATGATCATTCTCCCAAAGGGAGGATTTGGCTTGGTTGGAATGCAGATAGAGTAACTGTCAATGTCTTGAAGATTCATGAACAGTTTATTCATTATAGTGTCTCTTCTAAGGATCTTTCTACTCAAATTCATCTCACTGTTGTCTATGGGCTTCACTCTATTCATGATAGGCTTCCTATGTGGGAAGGAATCAGGAAAATCTCTATTCAGCATTCTCGTTGGCTTTGTGCTGGTTACTTTAACTATGTTCTTCATACTTCAGATAGGTTTCATGGCACTGATGTTACTGATTATGAGACTAGAGATTTCCGAGTTTGGTTGATGATTTGGACCTCACTAAGGTCAAGAGCAAAGGTGCCTTCTACTCTTGGTCAAATAAGGCTCACACTGGTCCTATAACTCTTTCTAGGATTGATAGAGTCTTTGGTAACCAAGCTTGGCTGGCCTCTCATGGGCATGTTGAGACTGTCTATCTCCCCCCTTCTTTATCTAATCACAGTCCAGTTTTGTTGGATATTTGTTCTGCCCCTGCTGGGAGAGGTAGACCTTTCAGGTTTCTAAACTGTATTGCTGATCATCCTGATTTCCTTAATAATGTTTCTCAGGCTTGGGGTTTTGGTAGTTCTGTTTGGCAGAAGCATAATTATGTGAAGTCTAGAATCAAGTCTCTTAATAGCAAGCAGTTTGGCAACATTAAGGAGAAGATTGATCAAGCTAATGTTGAGCTTGATGGAATTCAGAACTTAATGGCTCAGAATCCTGATGATTTGGAATTATATGCTAAAGAAACTGATGCAATTAAGGTTGTCAAACACTGGAATGATATTCAGGAAAGTAACTTTAAACAAAAATTTAGGATCAACTTGATTAAGATTGGAGATGGCAATTCTCATTATTTTTTCTCAGTGATGAAGAATAGACAAGCAAGGAATAGAATTGACTCCATCTTTGACTCTAACCAGGTTTTTCTTAAGGATCCAAATGTTATTTCTCATGAAGTTATCTCCTTCTATAAGTTTCTTTTAGGGATTCAGGCTTCTTGGGTTCCTGCTGTTGACCTTGTTACTATGAGGAGAGGTAAACAGCTTAGCTCTTTTGCTCAGAGTTATCTCATTCAGCCTTTTTCTCATGCTGAAATTGATGCTGCCCTTAAGGGAATTGATAACACTAAAGCTCCTGGTATTGATGGCTTTAACTCCTTTTTCTTTAAGAGAGCTTGGCATATTGTGAAAGATGATATTTATGCTAGTGTTATTGATTTCTTTACTAAAGGGACCTTGCCTAAGCAATGGAATTGCACAACTATCACCCTTGTTCCTAAAATCCCTAATGCTTCCCATGTTAAGGATTTTAGACCTATACCTTGTTGCACTATGGTTTATAAGCTCATTTCTAAGGTCATAACTGCTAGACTTGCTACTATCATTGGTGAGATCATTGATGATGCCCAAACAGGTTTTATTCTAGGCAAGCATATTGGTGACAATATCCTTCTTGCAACTGAATTGATCAAAGGCTATGATCACAAATTTATCTCACCTAGATGCATGGTTAAGGTGGATTTGAAGAAAGCCTATGATTCAGTTAAGTGGGGATTCTTGATTACTGTTATGCAGGAGCTTGGTTTCCCTCAGAGATTTGTTAGCTGGATCTAGACTTGTCTTACTTTTGTCTCTTATTCAATTCTTATTAATGGTTTTCCTGCCCCTCCTTTTGAACCTAAGAAAGGTTTAAGACAAGGTGACCCTATGTCTCCCTTTCTTTTTGCTGTTGGTATGGAATACCTTTTCTAGGTGCCTTGATGAGCTTAGGTTAACTCCTGATTTTAACTTTCATCCTAGATGTGAAAAGTTAAACCTAACTCACATGATGTTTGCTGATGATCTATTGATGTTTTCTAGAGTTGATAGTGTCTTTGTTAAGATTCTCTTCCAAGCCTTCTTGAAATTCTTGGGTGCTTCCGGGCTTTCTGCTAATCTTGATAAAAGTGAAGTCTTTTCTGGAGGAGTTTCTGTTGATATTCAGACAGAGCTGAGAGAGCTTCTTGGTGTTTCTCAAGGTACCATTCCTTTTAGGTATCTAGGGGTCCCTCTCTCTTCCAAGAAGCTTAATATTGCTCAGTGTAGGCCTTTGGTGGAGAAGGTGACTGCTAGAATCCAAGGGTGGATGGCTAAACACTTGTTCTATACTGGGAGGCTTCAGTTGGTGAAGAGTGTGTTGTTTGGTATTCAGACATATTGGGTTCAAATCTTTATCTTGCCAAAGAAAATTCTGAAAGAGATTGAGGCTAGATTCAGGTGCTTTCTTTGAACTGGATCCTCTGCCCCTGCTAAGAAATCTTTGGTTAAGTGGTTCCATATCTATTATTTCAAGCATAATGATTGTTGGACCACTCCTACCCCTGCCAAATGCTCTTGGTTTTTGAAGAAGATTCTGATTTGTAGAGATATTGTGAATGATCAAGGGGGATGGGATAGTTTCATACAGGGCAACAAGATGAAAATCAAGAAGCTTTATGCTGCTATTAGGCCTCAAGTTCCTAAGGTTCCTTGGAAGAGGGTCATTTGTCATAATTTAGCAACCCCTAAAAGTGTATTTATCTTGTGGCTAGCTTTGTGGGATAGGCTTGTCACTAAGGATAGGTTGCTACAATGGCACATTTCTTGTGATCCAAGGTGTTTCTTGTGCTTGAATAGCAATGAAAGTGTTCAGCACTTATTCTTTGATTGTGAGTACTCTAGACAGGTATGGAACAAGGTGTTGAGTATCTTACATGTTTCCAAGCCTGTTCAGTAGTTTGGTAATGAGATTGAATGGTTGAAGAAAATCTGTAGAAGTTCCAGATTGAAAAACAAAGTGATCCATGTTGCCTTCACTGAAACAGTATATGGTATTTTGATTCAGAGGAATGCAGTTTTGTTCACTGGTTGTTGCAAGCCTGTTGATGTCCTAGTTATGGATATTATCTTCCATTCAGCCAGTAGAATCCTAGCGGGAAGCAAATACTTGATTGCTTAGTTGGTTCAGGGAGCTGCTTCTGCTATTTTGTTTTTCTGTTACTGTTGCTGATCTTTGTTGTTGGATTCTGATTTCTAATTGCTTTGCTGTTGGTTTCTTTTAATTTCTGAAGGCTGTTGTTGGTTTGTGTTGTTGTTGCTGTTTTTTGTTGCTACTGCTGTTTTCTGTTCTGCTGCTGGTTTCTGCTGTTGTTACTGTTGTCTATACTTGATTGCTTAGTTGGTTCAGGGAGCTGCTGTTGCTGGTTTCTGTTGTTGTTGCTGACTGTTGTCTTGTTGTGCTGTTGTTGTTCTGTTGCTGTTCAGGTCAGTATATCAGCTGGTTCTATGCTGAACATGTTGTTGTTTGTGTTGCCGTTGCTGAAACCAGTTGTTGTTGCTGGTTTCTGTTGTTGTTGCTGATTGTTGTGCTCTTGCTGTTCAAGGCAGCAAGTCAGCTGGTTCTGGTTTTGTTGCTGAACCTGTTGCTGTTTGTCCTGCTGTTGCTGAAATCTGCTGTTGTGGCTGGTTTCTGCTGCTGTTGCTGGTTGCTGTTCTACTAGTCTGTGATGCAGGTGCTACAAGCCAGCTTTGCTGTTGCTGAAGCCTGCTTTTGTTGCTGGTTTCTGTTGCTATTTTTTTCTATTGTTCTGTTGTTGCTGGTTTTTTGTGCAGTTGTTGTTTACGCTGGTTTTTTGTCAGCACTTTGTTATGGTGTTATACCTCCTTTTGTCTAGTCCTGTTGCTTTTGCAGCTGAGTCTAGGTGGAGGTTTACTTTTGCTTAAGAGGTGTCTTTTTTGCCTGCAGGTCTGTCCTGCTCTGTGTTTGTTATGTGTTCCTGGGGCTTAGTTTTCAAAACCCTTCCTAGAAGGTGGCTGGAAACTTGAGCTCAGGTTGTTCTTGTCTCTTTCTCCTGAACCCTTCCTAGAAGGTGGCAGGAGATTGAGCTTGAACTATTTGGCGGTTGGTTGGCCTATTTTTTCAGGTCTTGTGGAGTTTGGTGGTTGTTATAACTTAACTTTTGTAAGTTGTAACTTTTCCTTTTGGTAATAAAATTTCTCATATTTTCCAAAAAAAAAAAAAAAAAAAAGAAGTCGGGGGATATTCAGTATGGTAGCATGGTGACTAGATTAGCTACCAAGCTTGATTTTGCTCGATACATCCATTCTTGTACTCCGGTGGGGGAAGCCAACAATATCTACCTTGACATTGGTCAACTCAAGCAAGTTCAATTCTAAGCAAAGAACAATGAAAAAGAGGTTTTTTATTGGTTGAAGAGGAATGTATATCGTTGTTACCTTCTAAACTTCTCTTTACCCTCCCTTCACTAGCATGTTCCAAATGTGTGGTTTGTGCCCCAAAGCAATCGTCTCCCCGGTGATGATGATGACATGGAAGATGTCCTCAACAAAGAGCAACAAATCCAATAAAATTAACAACAACATGAACAACAACAATAGCAACAACAACAAGAACATCAAGAGCCTCAACCTCATTATCCACAACATCAATTCTCCGACCCCGACATGGAGGCTGTGATTGCCAAAATGAAGGACATGCAAATTAGAATGGAGGGGATGTATGATCAAGACTTTGAGGAAATTTACAACCAAATGAGAGGTGTTTTGGGTGTTTTTGTCCCTCGGGAAAGTTTTAGCTCGAACACTGGTCCAGCTTGAGTTGTACCTGCAAAAACAACGAAAACTCTAGGTGGTAGGAGCTCCGCCTCTGAAGATCAAGTTAGAACTTGAATAATAGGAATAGGTGCGGAAATTAGGGTGGGATCTTCTCGGATTCCGAGATCAGGTGTTATCTTATGAGAGAGAAAATGGATGTAACAAATGATTGAATATGTCCCCACAATGGGGAAATATATCCCACTTTATAGGGTCATTCTGGAAAAGTGCCTCTCCCAAAGTCATTCTGACCTAGGTTTTATGGGCAGTGCCGCAATTACGGCTTTAATTTCTTGGGAATTAGGCCTTGAAGGCCGCAATTCTTCAGATATATCTGAGAATGCCATGTGTCTACTAGTGAGTGGCTTATGGTGACTTGTCCAGACTTGACACGTGGACCTCTCTGATTAGTCCACATGTCTAGGTATTTTTACTCTAAACATTTTCCCCTCACAAGGGTGACATGGCGGTCAACGTGACAACTGTGACACGTGTGCCCCCGTGAGTGGTGAAGAACAACCATGTCTATTAACCTTCTGGGTGTGACATGGATGCCCCCGTTTTACCCCCCTTCTCTCCACTCATTTACACATCTTTGAGAAGTTTTCTAGAGAAGGAAAGAGAGATTCTAGTGAGAGATACTATGATCCCACATGCATTAGATCTTCAAGATTTCTGTGTGCGTACTTACAACACCCGGTCACCTTCTGTTGTAGTTTTCAGATAATTCAGAGCTAAAGTAAGGTAACCACCTGTACCCTCTTTCAGCTTTTTTCTTCTTTTTCTTCTGTATACATTCTTGTTCCGTCTGTAAACATAGTCTTTAAAAATAAAAGTGGACTCTCTATCCACATACACGGCACTGCCTAGGACATTAAGTCGGTCTCCCGTTACGACTGAATCTAGAATAGGGGTGCCTTTTCTGAACTGTCGAAACTACTGTGCTCATCCTCAAATCCCTCCCTCTCTGTGTTTGTGTAGGACACAATGGAAAGATTTAAGCAAATGGCTATTAAGCCGAGAAGTCGACGCGCTTGGGAAGTAACTACAGATGAGGTTTTTTGGATGGGGAGCAAGACGAGTCGGAGGAGCAAAGCGGTTCTGAGGATAGGGCTCCCTCTTCCCCATTAGCTCAAGCATAAGGGAGGTAGGCGGTTAAAAGGATGCCTCCTCACATGGGGCAGGAGATAAATTACGCGGCGAAGAAGCGGTCGAAAGATCAGGAGCAGAGGCATCTTGCTCCGATCAGGACAATTTTGCGGCTGATTACCAATAGCCGGCTAAAGCATCAACTTTCCCGGACCCTAAAATAACTAGGATGTTGCCGGGTGACATTTCCCTGTTGTGGAGCGACTTTGAATATTTCCAAGAGGATAACCCCTTTGGAAAGGGCTTGATAATAGAGGTCTCGCTTGAGGATGCAGTAATGGCTTGGGACGATGGGATAGAAAACGCTGATAATTACTTTATCTGCTACGAGTCGGTAATTGCAGCCGGTCTCCGCTTCCCTCTTCATAGAGGGATAAGAAAATATCTTAAGCGGTACGACATAGGCGTCTGGAAGCTCACCCCAAATTCGTGGTTCAATATTATGAGCTATATTGTCATCTGCGAGCATCAGGATTTGGAGCCTAGCTTTGCCGCCTTTTCTCACATGCATTACATGAGCAAGGCCGCAAGCGGCCAGTGGACGTAGTATACTCTTATCACCCTTCCCCATGGTTGAAAGTGTCCAAATGGACCGACTGGAAGGAGAAATTTTATCTGATCTCCTTTGCAAGGCTGAGTCACAAGCGGACCCTGCGCCGGTACAATAGAGAACCGGCTCTTCTAAGTAGAAAGTGTGCTCACCCTCGCATCTCTTCCAAAGCTTACGAGCAAAAAATGGAGCCGGGACTTTTCGAGATCACGATTGAGCCCTTAGGGGATGGGACTCACATAGTCATGCCAAAGAACTGGATCCCCCATCAACATTTTTTCAT